TACACAAGAGTATGTCTCAGATGATATAAACTACATTACAAGCAATGATGAACAATGATGGAATACCTTCCATCATACATTCTACATCTGAGACATACCTACATAGTATATATAGACTAACTAATCAACAGACAATGAAGCAAGCTGTAAGAGAGCAAGCCAAGTCCACTATCCCCCCTTTTTGTGTGATCTCTCTAAGCCTCTCACATAACCTCTCTTCCCCCCTTTCTTAACACAATGTGATACTGTTTACTGTGACTCAGATCAAAGAAAGTGAGTTGCAGTGTGAAAAACAATCAACAGATTGTAATCACAAAATAAAGAATGTGTGATCTAAAAATTTCCATAATTGTTACAGTCATAGACTAGTCCTTGCACCACCCCTCTATTTCTTCCACAACTATTTTTTTAATGGAAAAAATAATATATGTGTATTCTGGATAGTTAAATATGATACCCAAAAAATTATTAAAATTAAAGCAAAATCCATTGAGTTATACTTCAGATACTGTAAAAATAGTAGTAAATTTTACTATGTTGAATTTTGTTACTATAATTACTACTCAACCTTGCAAAAAAAATTATAATAAAGATCATGATAATCACTATATATATTATGACAATAATTACACCAAATTTTATTTAAAAATATTAAGAATTGAATGTTTTAGAGGTGCTGAGAGGTTTGTAGGACCTTAGAGGGGGGGTGTAGCATCATGTGACCAAAATCATAGGTTGTAATCTACCTATCTACTACTACTTTGCTTGTATAATTAACAATACACAATACTATAACATTCTATAAAGTACATTTACTTTCTAGATGCTTAATTATTATTATAGACTATTCTAGATAATTTATATTACTAATAATATTTCTAGAATATTTGATTAAAAAGGTATATAAGGAGCTTACTCTCTACTTTCTACTCTACAATAACTCCTCTTCTCTAAATTCACTCTCATATCTAAGACTCTAGTACTTAGTTCATACTACTTATATAATGCCTATTAGAGCTAAATCCCAGACAAAAGTACAAATAGTTAGATAAGAGAAAGATCTTTCTAAGCTCTAAAAACTTATTAAAGATAGAAAGGGAGCTGGAGCTATTTATGAAGAAGTTGTTACAGTTCTCTGCTCTTGCAACCTCAGTTCTGCAGGTTCTGCACCCTTCCATACCAGAACTCAGAACTTCTGTCCCTTGAGAGTACTGTCTATAGACTATATGCAGGCTGACTCTCCCTATAATTCTTACTGTTACCCCTCTTTACTTCATCATTCTGTTCCTTTGTCCACCCCTTCATTCTTTGTACATTCTGTGGTCTCTTACTCTTTGTCCATCCCTTCATTCTTTGTACCTTTATCTTTGACCTTCCTTTCTTTCATTCTTAGTGGCTCACCATTCCCTGAGTACTCTTGTGTAGTTTAGTATATATAGGTGTATAAGGTCAGACTGGTCCTATAGTCTTGATCTTGTCTACTCCAGGTAGTCCTGTACTCTCAGGCTCACTCTATATACTCTATGCTTGTCTCACTCCCTCTCTCAGTCTGTTCTGCAAGTTCTGACTATGTTCTAGTACTTGTGTCCTGTATTTCTGTTGTGTAGGATAGTTGTAGCCTGGGTCCCCTTACTAAGCCTTCAGGTCCCTCCTACACTGTTACTGACAGAAGTGTCAAGTAAATATGAGAAAGAAACAGGAAAACTCATTACTTCATCATAGTACACTTCTTAGACATACTTTAGGAGGAAAGTCTTTAAGTCAGTTTAATAAGGAAAAGAGCTGACTTTTGCTAGAAGTAGAAAAACTTATTAAACTTACAGAAGAGCTCTCTGATAGGAATATTCCTCTTACACATAAACTGTTAAAGAGGTAGTAGAGTATATTCTTAAAACAAAATATAGTTATATAAAACAGTTATTAGCTCTTTTATGTAAAATACAAAAATAAAATATACTAGTATAAGGAACAGTTTATAACTGTATACTGTATCTACTCTTTTACCTATAAGCTAGTATAAACTATTAGATTTATTTCTTTACTCTTCATTACTTTTTTCATCTTTACTTCCAAGATTCTTATTATTACTATTAACTCCTACCTCTTCTACTATTTCTTTATTCTCTCTATTACTCTTATTTAAACCTAATAGTATATCTTACAATAAATAATGATTCTAATACTATATATTATATACAATTACTCTATCCCTTTTTAAAATAATTTACTTTTTAGTGTATAATTAAAGTCTTATTATCTTATAGAGCTGAATAATTGTATAATAAGAGTATTAAATATTATAAACATTAATAGAACTTTCATACAAAAAACAAGTACAGAAAATGCCTTTTTATTATCCTCTATTATAAACATAAATCTGTTTCTTCAAATATAATATACAATATACAATATATATATGTGTGTATGTTAAATAATTAAAAAAATTATTATATACACACTAATTATTAGTATAACTTTAGTAGTATTCAAATCTTTACTGTATTGTTTTATAGTTCAGATAGAAGTAAATGTATCTTTCAATAAGAGTTATTACTAATAAGTTCAAAGTGTAATAACTCAATTTAAGAATGTACTCTTGAATTTATAGTTACAATACAGTTACTATAGAATTACAACAATTATAAATTGAAATATTTATTATTATTCTAATAATAATAATACAGTACTTTTGTAAAACAAAATGTATTATTCATCTAGTATAATATATCTAAATAGACTGTAAATAGTATTATAGAATTGTAGAGTTGTTATAATATAGTATAAGAGGACTTGTAGTATTATTACATAGTTTTATAATATAAGTATAATTTAGTATACAATTATATTATATCTTTATTGTATTATAAAAGGTCTGATTATAAAAAGGTCTTTATATATTTTAAAATCTATGTAAATATACTATAAAAATCTCTATTTAAGTCTTAGTATAAAAAATAAAATAAAATATACAGGTTCTTATATAATATATTATGGAGATACTTCTATATATTATTAAAAATTCTAACAACTATAGCTTTGTGTTTGTGAAGTAAGAGTATTCAGAGGTACAGAAGATTGGGTACAAGTAGTAAGAATCTTTCCTTATAGTCATTTATTAGTGTATTACTATCTCACAAATTTTATAAATAAATAGATAAGTTTGCTATTTACATATAGTACATACTCATATGAGTATACAAAACATTTACTTTAGGATTTGTACTTTTAACCTTTTTTTGTTGATAAGATCTAGTGGTAGTGAGTAGGGGATGAAAAGAAAAGAGGAAAGATATAGAAAAGAAAAAGAAAAACAAGACATAGTATAAATTGAAAAAAAAGCTGGAAGAGAATAGATTAATATTGTCAATTATAATATAGTATGAGTGCTTACCTTTGATATGATTACTGGCTTTGCCCACCAGCAGAACCACCCCTTCCACCCTGGGATTGTCTCCTTGGCCTTCATACTGGCTGGTTCCTTGACAGTGGTTGAGGGGGAACATGTGTGCTTGAAGATAGGCCAGGCAGGAAAGGCATTCCTAGCAGTAGTAGTAACAGTACATAACCCATTTGAGGGGCATTCTACAAACAATGCAAATCTTGATATTGTTAATGCTGCATCTGTTGGTGTTACTGTTACTGTTCATGTTACACTATGTCATTATACAGCTAAGGGTTATACTGTAACAGATGACTAGGAGGGGGACAGATTTGTTATTACTACTGTCAATACTGCTACTGTTGTTCCTGTACTACAGCCTCATAGAGCCAAGGGTTGAACTCTAATAGATGGCCAGGAGGAGGGCAGGGGGCAGGCTGTTGGTAATGTTGCCCTTCTGGAGCTAGCAGTAGCAGAAGTGACTCCTCTATTGTCTAAGGAATGTACTGTGGCAGAGGGTTTTACTACTACTACTACTACTGTTGTTGTTACTACTGCTACTGTTGCTACTGTTGTTGTTGTGGAAGCAGCTGAGACTGTGTCAAACCTGGCACAACTTTACAGTACTCAACATTGGGATTGAATTGCTAGCAATCAAAGAGATTAGTCAAAATTGCTTTAAATATTCAAGTATTAAGCTCTGTAGAGTATACAAGAGCATGTAGATACAACAACAGGTAGTAAGGAGGGAGGAATGAGTGAAAAGATGAAGGAGACAGTATACTAAAGAAAGACAAATAATAAAGGGAAGTGTGTGTCAAACAATGAATATATAAGAAGTGGAATAGAGTTTGGCAAGAAAGTGAGTGATTAGTACATAAGTGGAGGACATAGAGTGTCTGTACTTGAAGGAATAATGCACAAAGTGTAAGGAAGTGTGTAAGAAAGGAATAAAGTGTCAAATGGCAGTGAAAAGAAATACAGCCTCAGCTAGTAGACAGATAGACTGTAGTGAAGTACAGACAATTGCTAATTAGGCCTTCTCTGTGTGTAAAAGATGAATGTCTACTTACTATGTTCCTCTGTAGGTAGTCAGACATTTTGAAGATGAGGAGGGAGATGGTGCATTAGTGTGAGATACAGTAAAGCACATTCTGGGAAAGTCACACACATTAAAGTTTATTTGGGACCAACATTGAAAATTTGCTACAAAAACCAAACATGCACTGTTTATTGTAAAAATTGAACACTATGGATCTCAAAAACAGCTTTATCAATCCTGAAAAAAAAACGTAATTTTAGTTATTTTGAGTATAATGCAACTATTTTTAGCACTTACACAAGAATAATTTCTTTTCAAGCCATCTAATACAGCTCAAGTAAACAATACAATAAGGGTGAATTATACTCAATTGACAGCAGCTTGACCACTGTGCTTGTGTGCCAGCACTATTACTCAGGCAAGATTATCATTATCCTACACATTGAAGAATGCCTGTCTGAAAAAGGAAATCATCTGATACTACAAAGGTAAATCTGATCTGTTGCCTCATAATACTACAGAGGTCTCTCACAGCTAACAGCTGCTCTAGCATCTTCATCTTTCATATGACAGGAATGACCTCACTCCTAAATCTGTAAGTAATTTCAGAGAGCTGTAATCTGTAGTAATCTTTTCAGACTCTGTAATAGCACACCTGATAACCTGTCCTTTGTATGTCTTTGTAATTACACAGGCAACAGGTGCACTTGTATGGTAAACCTGAGGAGATACTAGTGCTGGCTCAACTCAAATAGGCTAATAGGCATTAGTTCTTAAGCCATTACTAAGCTAGGGAGAGGCAGTTAGTTAAAGAGGATGTAAATAAGGAGGAAAGGTGCTCACAAGTGGTAGTAGTCAATCATGTAAGGTGATAATAACAAAAGTCAAGTAAGATCACATGAAGCTGTTGTAATCACCCCCTAATTGTACTGTTTGAAAGGATGGAAAAGGTATATTTCAAGCAAGAATGGCTACTAGATCACTTGGAAGAAAACACAGAATGATGTACAGAAAAACACTGTAGACAAGACAGAAGACAAAGTATGAGTATAAGACAAGCACTACTATAAAGCATGTAAGAATAGCACTCACAATTACTCAGCAAATAACAATAAAGGACTAAATTCTCTCTTGCTTCTTACCCTCACTCTTACTCACATTTGCCTCTGCCTCCTCCCAAACCTTTTCCTCAGGAGTGCCTTTGTTAGACGTTTTGCTAGCTTTGACAGGATGGAACCTGGCCATTATAATCTTGTGAACCTGCACCAGCTTGCTGCCAATTTCTTCAGCTCTTAGTATAGGGAGGTTTAATGTATTATCTAATGCTTAGAGCTATCTGGTACACATCTTCTTGTCCATCAGAGGATAGTCTGGATGCACTACACTAGTGCCAAGTTCCTAGAGTGAATGATTCTCAACAAGAATGTCACAGATCAGCTTCTCATCTTGGAGAATTTGTAGCATAACAAAGGCCTCATTCACCTTACAGAGTTTGGTTTGAGCAGAGTGTTTTAAGAGGGATACTGTTAGAATAGCAGCCATGTTGGGAAGAGTATTGTTGTTATTAACAGTGATAGATTGTCTGCCCTGCTCAACATTATGCTGCAAATTTTCTAGTATAGCTTTTACTCCCAAGCTATTTTGCTTTACAGACAACCTAGAGTGATTGCCAAACAGGGACTTGTGTAACTGTGATTGATTCCTGACAATCTGTTAGATATGATTCAGAAACCAGTCTGCTGTAGACACATAGTAGGAGCATTCCTCCTCCATCTCTGCCCTGAGCTTAACAGCTTGCCTCTACTTGTCCTCAGCTTCTGTTCAAAGAGTACAAACATACTAACATAGCTAGTTTGACCACCTGTAGTATGTTTCTTTTTTGATTGTCCTGTAAACTTGATGTTTGATTTCCTGGGTCCTTAGGGATTTGTAAAAGACTACACACTTGGGACCTTTAAACATCTTGTAGTAAAAGTTGTACCAACAGAACCATTTGTCCTTTTCAGCCTTCTCAGAAAGGTAATACTTAATGAATTGAATTTCACAGTCCTCTACATCAGGGGAGTCTACCTCTACCTCCTCATTGGCCTGGTCATCAGCCTGATCATTGGCCAGGTCATCAGCCTGGACTCTATTACCATTTGTATAGGAATCTATAAAGTAATTCAACAGGCCCTTAAAGAAAGCCTTACAAGCTACATTAATGGTTTGCTAGCAAATCAATTCCTTGTAAGCCTTAGTGTTCTATATAGGCAATATTGTCAGTAAAATCACAGAAAGCTGCTATTGATGAACTCACCTTAGTAATCAAAGCCAATTCAACATTGTTTATACAAACTTTGTGTTCATTGTAATATCCTTCTACCTTTACATTAACATTCTCAATCCTTGCATTAACCCTATTAAGACTGTCACAAAGTTGCTTTTGCATACTATTAGCCTGCCTTATAATAACCTCCTTTACTGTTTCAAAATCTCAGAGAAGTTGCTTTATAGTAATCTTCCTAGCTTTTGTAGTAGCATACAAGTCTGTAGTAAACCCTTTTTTCTGTTTAATATTGTTGTCAGACTTTCCTACCATCACTACTGTCTTGACTACTGCCTCTACAGCCTTAACACAATTGTAAACCTCTGTGCCTACAACAGCTGAAAAGGACTTGTAAGTAGAAGAAACTGAAATGAAAACTATCACTCACTGTCAGATGCAAGTGATGACACTGAGTTTGCTGCTGGAAACAATAATGTACTGTCCTCATCAACTAAGGCCCTTAGTTAGCCACAGACCCAAAAATGCAGATCTGAATACAGATTGTACCTTCTTAGGTGACCTTCATTCCATTCTCCTCCTTTGTTAGATAGGATAACATTATGTGAGATCCAATTGACAGGTCTGAATGTGTCAATCTATCACCTATACTGAGTCTATTATGTTGTCTTGCTAGTAAGCTAGACATACTATTGACCCAGACATATACAGAATTACTCTGGATACTGGTAGGCAATTAGGATGAAAGACAAAAGGGTGAGTCATTGTCCACATCACTATCAGAGGGTCTGGTTACTATTCACAGGATGTTTGTAATTAGGCTATTTTGGGTAAAGAAGTGCACACAACCTTCCTTGATTTCCATGTTTCTCCCAGGTGCTCAAACAAAGCAAATACTGTCTACTTGTCTTGAGTGTTCAAGTTCTACTTGTAATGTCTGTTTTCTACACTCCTCTTTCCTTTACTAAGTGACTACTATAAATGTTAGTAACTGAATTTCAAATCATGTTTTACATAGTAACTTGCTAGTATACTTGTATCTGAAAATATCCACCACACATGCCCCCTACTTGCCCTACAAAAAAATCAGTAAAACTTAGAGCTGCTGAAGAAGCTGAGTCAGAAAGGCAGGCTACAAAGAATGTGAAGAGACAACCAGGTTGTCCTCACACAGTCCTAAAGGATAGCCTAGGATGTACAGATCAACAAAGGCAGAAAAAGACATTAAAGTCAAATCCAGCAAAGGGTAATAAACAAACTGCAGTTCTGAAACCAAAGAGTAAGAAGGTATGTAAAGGGAATACTGAAACATTATTCATACTTACAGTTTCATTGTACTCCATTCAGGATAGTTCTTACAGAGCCAGTGATTCAGAAGGTGTCCTATCTGAAGAAAACACAAAACATTCAGCTGATTGTACAAACCTTTCTGTCCTAGATGTGACCAGAGCTACTGGTTTTAACCACAAAGATGACAATTTGGACAAACCTAACTTCAGCAACAATGTCTCGAATTTTCTGGAGGATATTGATTTGCTAAGCAAATGGAAGGTTTTTGATGTTCCTAGTAAGTAATACTTCCTGACAGCCATACACTATCTACTTATCATTTTAATAGAGGATGACTATTTTGAATTCCCCTCATACAAGAGAGCCAAGGCATACAGATGGTTGACCTCAACCCCTGCAAAAAGTAATATGCAAGCCAGAACAATCAAGATTAATGTCAAGTTTTTTGATAGAGTAGCAACTTGCTCAATGGATATCAATTCTAAGATGTTGCTCACAGATTTACTGAATAAGATTACAGAAATTACAAGAGCAATATACACTATACATGTGCTTAGTTACAAAGCTCCCTAGTGTAAGAGAGCCAGTTTGAAAGTCAAACCTCATTATCTAGATTCTCAAGCCTTGTTAGACAATCTGTTCAGTAATGTACACAAGTTTTGTAAGGACCAGGCTGGCAATAAGAAGAAGAAGAACTTGGATTGTAGGATAGTCATTCACAATCTTACTCCTATAGTTTGTTCATGCAAATTTCTCTGTATATTACATTGAACTGAAGCCACTTTATAGTCTGGAAACAGAAACGTTACTGCTCAGAAAAAGGGCCAGACAAAGGCTAATACTATGGTCTTGCAAGATGTGAAGGATCAGTATGTACTGGAAATGCAGAAGATTGCCAGTGAAATTGTTACAAACTTTAAATGTGATAAGCACAATAGTACACTATGTGCTTGGTTTAAGGGTATGTGAGATTACATTCTGTATACAAATGCAGATGTTGCTGAGCACACAAAACTTGTGGTGAGTTCTACAGATATATTAAGTATCTACATAAATCTCACTACTGTGTAGTATTGTAAGACCCTAGGCATGACAACAGATAGACCTCCAGAAGCTTTGAAGATTTTGAACAAGAGATCAGTAAGATTGGTATTGTTGAAAAAAGGGGCTAGCAGTGAGTGCTCTGAAATTGAAAGCAAAGGACCCAGGACAAAGAAGGCTTGAGGTAATATGGATGCTCCCAAAACCAGTATCCTAAAGAATATAAGTGTTCCAAGGTTAGTAGACACTCTGATGAAATCCAATCCTCTAAAGACTGTACAAAATTTTCCAACTGTGAAACAATGGCTTCAATTGTGTGCAGACAACCTTGAAAGGGGTTGTAATAGGTTTGATTATGAAGTATTGGAGGTACCTTTTGCAAAGAACAGTATAAAGCAATTGGACAACATTAATGCTCTAGGGAAAGACTTGTTGTGGCAGATTGTAACAGATACAGGACTGGATGTTACAGTTGGGTTGGTGTTGCAGATTGTTTGTTATGCAAAAGAAGATGTTGAAGAAATAAATCACAAATCTTATTGACCTATTAATCATAAACTTTCAATAGAATATGTCTGTCTCTATCAATCCTGTTAATTACAGTTTTTTGTACATAATGAGAAAGTATAATAGAGAAACAGAATATTTTGGACAACACAAAATCATATTAGTGGGCATAACCACAATGATGAAAACAGGAATAGCACATGTCTGCACTGAATGACATAACTTCCCCATACAATTTATCATAGACATCTTTATTAGGCAAAGAGTTGAAATTGAAGCAGTAAAGGTTAGATTTCACAATGGAAAATGCAAGCTTGATTGGATTAAAATCAGGCAAGTAAGTAGGAAGAAATTCTAACTTCATGCCTCTGTAAATAATCAGTGGATTTTTATAACTATGATTTGAGCAGGATACATACCTAGACTTAATAAGCTCACAGATCTCTAGAGCCTTATAGATTGTACAATTATCCATAACAATGACAGAATGTAGGGCTGGGTAGGGTTGTATACAATCTAGCAATCCCTTGATAAAGTTGGTGAAGGACTCTGTATTGAATGCTCCTTCAATGATTGTACAATCAAGCATACCATCAATAGTCATTTCTGGGAGAATAGAGTATCTAGATGCTGAGTTGTGAATACTCTCAAAAAAAGAAAAAAGAAATGAGAGTGCTTGCACCTTTTTCCTCTCACAAAAACTTCCTTTCAACTAGCCTTGTAGCCTTTCAATGCCCATGCTTTCTTCTGAAGGTAAGTTCAACAATCACAGGCACTCTCATCAACAAATACAAGCTGCCTTTTGTGGTAGTGCTTGCTAATATGAAGCTGATATTGAATTTGTACACTCTTACTCTGTTCAAGAGCCTTTTTTGAGATCTAAAGAGGAATCAGAAAAATACTGAAGCTTATGAACACAAATGCTTACCTTCTTTAGTGTAAACCCAGCTCTAACTAGTGCCCTCCAGACTGTTGTATCTGATACATGCTTGCTACAAGCCTGACTGAGGGACTCCTTGAGTTTATCAAGAAAACAATTACTGTGATGGTCTACCAAGCTAAGGAGGTACTAATTTCTTGATGTGCTGAATCCATATGTCCAGGTGCCTCAGAGCATACCTGTGTATCTGAATATTCCAGCAACTGTGGGTGCCCCTGATTTGCTAGTACTTGCTGCTGAACTCCTCCAGTATGTTTCTAATACAAGATTATTTGATAAATTGTGCAGCAGTAGATACTAGTCAGTATAGAGAGTTGATCAATGGAGAATTTTGATGTCTGGTATAAGTTGAGGACAATGACTCTAGCATCTTCAGACAACACCTTACTACAGGTCATTTCTGCTGCAAAATTGAATACTAGGGCACATTATTGTGCTAGTATTGTATGTAACCATTGAAGCAGTATAGAACAGTATTGTACCTTTCTCCCTTTTTGGATAGGTCCAGTTGTAAGACGTCAAATTAAAAGGCATACACTCATTTGAATATAGAAACAGTTAGGCAAACAGAACCTAGACTATAAGAAGTTATAAAAAGTTGAGATATTATAGAGAGTATTTTAGCTTTGTAAATTATAGCTACTATTTTCATTTTTATTCAAACTAAATTCTTTATTATTAGTAACAAATAAACTAAGTAATAAGAGTATTCTAACTTAGACAAAATACACAGAGTAGAATCCTAGCTAATCTTGTACAATTTAACAATTCTACTAATAGTTCAATAATACTATTTTGTAATTAGTGTTTTCTTAATAGTATTAAATACTGTAATACTGTCTTCAAGCTAGTATATAGTAATATTCTAACAATAAACTAGTGTTTTTTCTCTTGTATTTAGAACTACTCATATATTATAAATATAAAGAGAATTCTTTTACATTTGTTTTCTTTTCTTTTAAATTAATATAAGTAGAAATCAAGTATAATACATTGCAAACTTAAACAGAATCTTATATACTCTTATATGTTTAATTAGACAATAAAATATTTTATTTTATTTTAAAGATTTACTTTTTTATAATTTTTAACTTATAAAAATAATAACAATTTTCTCTACCTAATAATCTGTCTTAAAATTACAATTATACTTGTGTCTAGTATACAACTATATATGTACAAACTCTTGTAAAGATTGAATTAGAATTAGAATTAAAATAATAAATTAGTATAAAATAACTTATTATAACTAGACTTTTAGAAATATTTATTATAACTTACTTAGAACTTAACAAAAGTTTGTATAGAGTGTAGAATAGATAGGAAACATACAATTATATATATATATATATAATTACAAGTAAAAATATTTATTTATTTAAATAATATATTTTAGTTTAAAACCTTAGTTTTTATAAGCCTTAAGTTATAAAAGTAATAACTCTTTTTTCTACATAACTGTTTATTTTAAAATCTTGTATATATATTAATCCTAATATATAACTATATATATATATAAAACTTTTTTAAAGATAAAGTAAGAATTAAGAGAGAAATAGTAATATAACTAATTGTAAGTATTAACTATATAAAGTATTTTAATTATAATTGTATTCTAATATACTAATAATTCTTTTGTATATATTATAAAACATTTATAATACATGTAGTAAATTTGTATAAGACAGTTACTATTTTTTTAGTATAAGTCATTATATTCATTTTACTTAGAATATAATTTATATGTATATTAAAACTATACATTATATATCTAATACAATCTTATATACTGTAATATACTTAAATAATTGTGTTTAGTTAATATAATACATTTATACTTATAGATTGCTAATATTTACTATAAGTCTTGTATTTATTATGTATAATCTAACAATTCTAATAGTTGTCTGACAAGAATATTATAAATCTTCTATACTCTTTATATACTTGTATAAATTTGCCAAGTGTGCTAAATCTTCTAAAAGTACTGTATATTCATACAATATTTACAAGCTTCAATTGTTACATTGAGAATTTTATATACTACTATGTTTATTCTAGGTTGTAGAAGTGATTTGTAGCTAGAGTAAGGAACATGTAGTCAGTCAGTACATTGTCAAAGCAAGTCAAAGATGTATAGTATCTGATAGTAAAGAAATCAAGTCAAGTCATGAAATATAAGTGATTGAAAGCAATAGAAGTAAGCAAGGAAGTAGTAAAGAAATGATTAGAGATCAAGCAATTTTGCAGGGGTTGGATAGTCTGGAGTAGTTATTGTTGCCTCCTCAAACTTGAAATCCTACAAATTAAAAAGATGATAACAATAATTAAAATAAAATAAAGAGGGGAGAAGGAAAAGGAAAAGGAAAAGGAAAAGGAAAAGGAAAAGGAAAAGGAAAAGGAAAAGGAA